ACCAATGATGCTGGCCCTCATCCTGGGTGAGTGACAGTGGGGACGTGGTGCCACGGGGGCTGGTGGCCCTGTGTGAGACCAGGTCCGTGTCCCTTGCAGGTTGGTGGCTGGTGGCAGTGAGCAGGACACAGCAACGTGAGTATGGAGCCAGGGGGATAATGGGGAGAGAGGGAGGGGAGCGTGGTCAGGGGCCATCAGAGGGGCACAGGAGGGTGTGCGGGGAGAAGGCTGACTGCCGTCCCCTGTCCTAGTGCCCCGACCCTCCCTGTCACTGCACCCCAGCCAGGGGATAGAAGTGGGGGACAATGTCACCCTGTGGTGCCACCTGCCGAAGCCAGCTGCCTGGGTCCAGCTCTGCCAGGAAGGAGGTTTCACCCCCTGCATGAAGAAGTACAACGTTCAGGACGTGGCCGTGTTCTCCTTTGCTGTCACAAAGTGGGTGCACACAGGGACATACCGGTGCCAGTACCGGGTGTCTGAGCCAGCAGAGACATCAGAGAGGAGTGACCCCGTGGAGCTGGTGCTGACAGGTGAGGGCACTGGGGTCCATGGGAGGCCGTGAGCTGTCCTCACAGGCCCAAGTCCCACCCATTTTCTCTCCCATCGTGCAGATCACTGATTCCCACCACCTGGCATTTCCATGAGCCCCAAGGAACGTGTGGGCATGGGGACCAACATCACCATCCGATGCAGCAACATGTACCAAGGGGCCACCTTCCTGCACAAGGACGGGCACTCAGTCCCTATCCAGCAGCAGGACCCTGATGGTGGGGGCACGGCCACCTTCACCCTCGTTGGGGTGACTCCAGCTGACACCGGCACCTATAGGTGCTCCTACCACCCCAAGGGCTTCCCCTTTCTGTCCTCTCCACTTGGGGACAGCGTGGCACTGGAGGTGACACCCACACCTCCAATGGCAGAGTCCCATGGGAACCTGGTGGTGGCAGTGCTGAGGGTCTGTGCTGCTGCCCTCATCTTCTGCCTTGGCGTCTTCTTTGTCCTCAATGCCCGTAATCTCTGGATACGGAGAGATGGGAGCCCTGCTGGGGAA